CTTAAAATGACCTCCTGCATGTATTTGTAAGATGCAGAGAGTTTCATTCAAGCATGTCATTCGACATTGCAATTGCATTTTAAAATAACCTAATGTATGCATTTGTAGGATGCAGAGAGTTTCATTCAAGCATGTTATTCGACATTGTAATTGCATTTGAAAATGACCTCATGCATGCATTTGTAGGGTGCAGAGGGTTTCATTTAAGCATGTCATTTGACATTGAAATTTCATTTTAAGATGACCTCTTGCATGTATTTGTAGGATGAAGATAATTTCATTCAAGCATGTTATTCCATATTGCATTAATATGCAAATATGTCGTACTTGCGCAATCGAGTTTCCTCATGCATGTATTTAGAAGATGCAAATGGTTTCATTCAAGTAATATCATGCGATATTTCATTTACATGTAAAAAAAATACCGTACATTGCAACTACATAGTGTGCAAATGTAAAATGCAAAATACATAGGCTAATATACATGATACAAGTAGATGTGCGCATACATCCACTATATGCGTATAACAATCATCTAAATACATTATGCAAAATACATGCAACAACATATACTCGTATGGGCCCTAACAAGAGTGATGCGCGCACACAAGTGACGTCTGAGGATGTTGCGCGGGTCAAGAAATGAACTTAAGTTCATGCCCAATCCTTCTATGTGGGTAGATGGTATTGACACGGCTCAGACAATAAAAAAAATATACGGTCGCAGTATCGATCGGGGATATTTGTTTTCTTCCCTGGTTATAAAACCTACAAAGAACTCGATCCTCTGTTGGCAAGTAGACAGAGTTGACAAGGTTCAACTGATAAAGTAAAATTGCCCATAAGTACCCGATGATGGCCGTGTTGAGAAGTTATTATTATTTGAACCGGCCGGTTCTTAAGAACCGAGACCGATTCAATGATCGGTCCCGGCGGTTCAGACTTGTTCTGACTAGTTTGATGCTAGACTGGTTTTTCAGGAAGACCAATTTACGGTTGAACTAGTCGAATCGGCCTGTCCGATCCGGTTTTCAAAACCATGCAAAATACTCATCCACTCTCCTCAATAGTTTGTCGAGGTAGACAACATTGAAAATTACTTCAGCTCGTAAAGAACGAAGGCCTAATTTAGAATATATCTAGGATTCATTCTCAATTTCTATTGTTAGTAAGAACGTGACACATATCCTCTAGCTGGTGGTTCGCTTCCAAATGGCACCATTCTTATGGTTTCACCGCTAAATGTCACCACAAGTAAATGGTTATGGCTGAGACCCTCTAGCGGGGTTGTTTTGTTGCTAAATTACGTTCATGATTAAATTACGTTCATGATCAGAGCTTATATGTTCCCCAACAGCGTTAAATTATTGAGTAATGAATTAGTAAGATATGATCGATATGGCACAAAGCCCTTCATTAGCTAAGGCGGATTCAAATTTATTCCCTTTGACAAACATTCTCCCTAGGTTTACAAGGTATTCGTGTACGAAGCAACCCATGGCTGCCAACAAGGATCCTTCTATAAGGTTGGTTTGACTACCTCCTCTGACTAAGTAGACTAGGGACTATGATGATCTAGGACCACAGAACCATGAGATCTTGATTGAGTCTATAATCACTCCCCCCACCATCCTCTTTAAGTGCAAGGTGGTAAAATTTTAATTTTAAATATTAAATTTTCAATACCAAATCATGCTGCTACTGTAGGCCACATATTATGTATCTGTTTGACAACTAGCCTTAATAAAAAATTCTCTCCCACTATCGAGAGGCTATAGGGGCTTGTGTCATGAGCCCAGATGCTTGATCTAACAAGGCTGGAATAGAAGGTCGAACGACAGATTAAATTTGCATTTGCTAAATTTCTTCAATACACTAATAGAGTCATTAAAACTTCAAAAAAATAAATTGGTATAAAATGAATTTAATATGTTTCATTTGGTGCGTCACGTCTACTGTACACATTTTCTTCTCTTTTGTTAATTTAAATTATTTTAAATTATACCTGAAAATATTAGAGCAACTAAAAGTAAGCTAAATCTCAATGAGTGAAACATGCTTCTAAACTGCAGTAACTTAAGGCAATTGAAACAATATGTATTATCCTTTTTTTTTTCATTTCATATCATAAATAATTACATTTAATCATATCATTTCATCAAGACTTTCAATGTTATACATAAATCATATATGTTATATATATCATATTTGTATTTTTATTTTTCTCATTTAATCATATCATTTCTCATAAATAATCCAACCGTCATAAGAGACACCGTCTAATTTAGTACCAATGAAGGTACTCCTTTTTCATAACTTTTTTCATTAACTTACACGGGTACATTGCGTCCCCAGTCAGTACCATAAGGGGGTGTGTTTCATCAGTTAACATGCACATGCAAATATATTATAGAAATCATATCATTTACCTTCTCCATATCATTTCACATTGAATTATATAATAAACATCATGATAATATAAGATAAATTATATCTTTATGATATAAATTCATGTCTTTTAATTTAACATGATCAATTATCTTTAATAAAGAAAAGATCATGTAACATTAGCAGTGAGCAATTAGATAATAATAGTACTTGATCATCATGTGTAGGAGAAGCAAATATTATTACTGTAATTAAAAGACTTGAGTACTCATCTTGAATTTAGGAAATGCACTGCTTCACTTTTATTCCTTATTCCAATGACGATAGATTTAAAACCTATAAAAGATCACTTCACTTCATTAAATTTCTCTAACTTGTAATTTATAATTAATTATTGTAAATTTGAATTTTAAATTAATATCTCAAATATTATTGATTAGAACTTCTCTCACCCTCTTAATTAACTATTTATTAAATATATGCAATTAATGCTTGAATTTTAATTTAGCAATAAAATTATTCTCTTTCTCTTTATATTTATTTTTATATTTGATAAAATCTCTCTTTTTCTATGCAATTTATCTCATTCATTATTCTTTTCAATCAAGTTTATATAAAATTTGATTTATACATTTCCTAACATAAAAATATCATATTATCTTATATACATATCATAATTAATTAATTTCTAATATATAAATTTTAGAAAAAAATTCTTATCATCATCTTTTACTAAAAAAAAAAATCTTCCCTTCTTCCTTTACACGAGGGTCCTCGCATGCCCTACCCATCGAGTTAGCTTCCTTCTCTCTTTCTCTCAATCTCCCTTTAATATAACTTATATCTTTCTTAGGATTAACCACATAAGAAGAAAAACATACCAAAAGAAATGAATTTGAAAAACTTACTTCCTTCTTCTTCCTCTCAGCCTTTTCTCTTGACTGACACTCTCACGCGATTTGCTCCAAAAGGAATGAGCGGAAAAAAGTTATGACTCAGAAGGAGTAGCTATTTCTCACTTTTGCGCGCGATTAATCAGTTACGCCCTAAACCCTAAATGCGTCTGCTCCGTCGTTGCCCGTTTGATCCGTTCGTCTAATAAAGAAAACCAATTCATTTGAACTGGTAGTTGAACCGATTATTATAGCTTGTGCCTATAGGAAACCTGGATGACATATCTTGTCTCCTTAATAATGGCATCCATAACAATTGTTTTGCTAGTATCAACCAATCTAGCCTCTACGTTTCCATCTCTACTATTTTCCGATGATGTCTTTATCGTTGGCAAAATAGTTGCACAAAGTTGTCACGGTTGTGCTCCAAACCATTCTCATTGAATTTAGCCTCCATCAACCACCTTAAGAAATCTTTTTTTGCCCTTAGTGTCACCTGGCCCCTTAACTTGGTTGTCATCATTGACATTACTGTTGAATCCCTCCCAATTACTTACCTTTGCCTTCCCCTGGCCACCATTGGACTCAGTTACTTTTTTTATCAATCCCTTATTGACAAAACTAATGCTAGGCCCTTTGGCTGGAAAGCTCTCACCCTCTCTTGGAGTTGGTAGGTTTCAGCTTTTTAAAATCACATTTCTTACATGTTTCTCTTCTAGAGAGAAGCGTTCAATATCTCCAAGGAGGTCATCACAAAAACTCTACCATCTGCAATCTGCTCATTCTTTGTGTTAGTGAGACAAGAAACTCCATACTGTCTCATAGAGTGATACCTGTTTACAGGAAGCTTGGTGATTGCGGTCTCCCTAATTCCATTCTTATTGATATTATTTCTAGATTACAATTGGATTGGTTTATTATACCCTTGGATTTTTTGCAGGCTAATTGGATCCATATGCAATGTCTTAATCAATGTTCATTCAAGTCTTCTAATTGAAATTATGATTTTGTATCCTTGAAATCTACCTAAAAATTAGATCCATCCTCAAGCCAATATCTCACTTATGCTGCGTATAATGGCTGTAAGACCATTGGCTTATTGGTAGCAACCTTGTAGATATGTATGGTCAGTTTGTCATTCAAGATTTGGAGTTTAATGGCGGTATTTTTCTCGTAAGATGTACTTTTTGAGCTTTGAACACGTACAGACTTTCAGATTTCCATTACTAGGTATGTACTTTCATCAATCTTCTTTGGGCCAAATTCACGTCCTTGTGAAAAACGGCAATGATGAGGCCTATTTATCTTTTGATCTGTGAGTGAGTAGCTTCATTGGTATGCTGACGCTCATATTCAGGATGATGCTAATACCTTATCAGCATGGTTATCTAGAAATGCTGAAGGAGTTCATGATACGAACTGGCTGTTAATTTCATTAGCTGTTTCTTTCTGTTCAATTTTATTTAGAATTTAAGATTTTGCTTTGACACCTCTTGAATAATTGCAATTTTACTATGATCATTGTTTTCACTACTGCAAATTTTCCCGAAATTTCAAATTTCAAAACAAATCAACAATCAATCTGCATCAAGCATTAGTACTAATTATTTCCCTATCATAGTTCAACTCTCTGTTTGCCCTTATCCATTTGTTCCATCAACTTTGATGTCTCATGCATGAGCTATAAGTTTCCTTATTTGTTCTGCTTATTTTATCCAGGTCCTTAGTTTGGTGCCAAAGGAAGCTTATGGTGAGCGTTTTGAGGATGCTCTTGCCCGAGTTCGCCGCTGTCTTGGTGGTGGAGCTGCCACTGAGAATGCAGATAGTGACAGTGACTTGGAAGTGGTTGCTGACACAGTCTCTGTCAACCTTCGCTGTCCTGTAAGTGGTTATATTCTAGTGCGAAATATTTTGGTTGGGTTTGGAGAAGTGTGCTTTTATATATCCTTTGGAGTGGGCGACTGATGAATAGGTGATTTAGGGTCTTGGCTTAAAAACAATGGACTCATTTGGAAGCTAATTGAATGCCTTTAGATTTCACTATGTCTTGAATGGGTAGAACTAGAGTTAATAAGCTTCCACATGAACAAATGGATCTTGGCAGGAAAACCAAATTTCCAGTTTCCAGTCAGAGACCACTAGGAAAAAGTCTGGAATGGGCTCCATAGGTGGGTCGAGGCTGATTTAGAGCTGACTCAACCCGTGGTAGTCAGAGTCTAGAAAGCCAAGGGGTTGTTTGAGATAATTTTTTCTTGTTTTAAAAAAAACATTTTTGATTTGTACTTTTTTTTTAAACATCAAGCTATTTGTTAAAATTATTTTTAGATGTTTTTTTTGGTGTTTTTATTTTTTTTAAATGAAAATAAAATTGGCCACCGCTCATCTTTATTGTTTTATGGTCATCACAACTGTTGGTTGCCATTGTTGCTTGCCATCAGTTTTATGCAATATTCAATAAAAATAAAAGCAACACTTATTTAGGATACCAAATATGATTTTATTTTATATTAGAATATTAATAAAAGAGAAAAGGACAAAAATGGTTCCTCAACTCTTTGTGAGGTACCAATTTGGTACCCAACTTTTTTAGGGACCAATTTGATCACTCAACTCCTTTAAAAGGGGTCTTTTTAATCCTAACATTCCAAAATTACCCTTTTTTAAAGAGTTGAGGGTGAAATTTGCCCCTCAAAAGAGTTGGGGATCATTTTGGTCCCTTACAAAGAGTTGAGGGGTTATTTTAGTCATTTTCTCATAAATAAAACAAAAGAAAAAACATAAAAATAAAAACAGAAGGTGTTCTCAAATGACCCCCAATAGAGGATGAGTTACGTGATAGATCTGAAAATTTTATGGATGAGCTCAGAGTCGTATCCTCCAGCACTAAGAAATTCCTTAACTTTAAGAGGCATAGGGTTTGTATAAGATGGATGGTTTGTAAAAAGGGATCTCGTTTAACTGGTTGTCCCAGCAAAGGGAAGCTACACTATTTTAGATGGTCCACTTAATCATCTTCCGTGATGAATCTTACTTTGCACATAGCATTCCATATTGAGGGTCTAGCTTGAGCAATATTAATTAAGTTTTATGTCTACAGCTAGTTTATTATGTTTCCTGCGTGGGAACAACTGTTGAAATGTTTTATGTATGTGCTTGCTTTTTTGGATTATATGTTTGCTTCCATCCGGTTCATGATTTGTTACTATTTTCATATGAGATTGAAATTTAATTAAGCCTTTATGGCCACCTTTTTTTTCCTTCACAGATGAGTGGGTCTAGAATGAAGATAGCTGGTAGGTTTAAGCCTTGCATTCACATGGGCTGTTTTGATCTGGAAACTTTTGTGGAACTTAATCAGCGCTCTCGGAAGGTGCCTAATTTTTTGTCTATTGTTTGTAAACTTTTTTATGTCTAACTTGGATCTCTCACAATCTACTTTTTCGTTATCTTCTCCTTTGCTCGCAGTGGCAATGTCCAATTTGTCTTAAAAATTACTCTTTGGAAAATATGATTATAGATCCATATTTCAATCGTATAACATCTTTGGTAAGTTCATCACTGCACCAAGCTCAATTTAATTCATAACTATGAATTTGAATGGTGATCATGTCTGCATATTTATTGGTTTTCCAGATGCAAAATTGTGGGGAGGATGTCAATGAGATTGATGTAAAGCCTGATGGTTCTTGGCGTGCAAAAATCTCTGCTGATATCAAGGATCTTTTGCAATGGCATTTGCCTGATGGCACTCTCTCTGCTGCAACAGACGTTGATGTGAAACCTGACGTGGGGATCTATCCTCAGATTAAAAAAGAAGATATTTCTGAAGGAATCACTGGTTTGAAGTTAGGCATCAGGAGAAACAACAATGGAGATTGGGTGTTCAATAAACCTGGAGTTACAGAGCATCACTCTTCAGGAACTTTGGCATTAGAAAGATCTGGAGATTTCTGCCAAAACATAATCCCTACTAGCAGCAGTGCTACTGGAAGCTGCAGAGATGGTGAAGATCCAAGCGTTAACCAAGATGGTGGAGGCAGTTTTGATTTGCAGTTTAATAGCCATGAGCTTGATTCTATTTCTTTGGGCTTGTACAAAGTTGAGGACATATGTCCTCCAGTTCCTTTTGAAAATGCGAATGTAATCATCCTTAGTGACTCTGATGAAGATAACGTTACCATGATTTCTCCCGCAACAGTTCATGACACTATTCCTTCTGACTGTAATGTTGGTCCAGCTGATCATAGAGGGATTGCAGATGCCTACCCTGATGATTCTGGATTGAGGGCTGATGCGGTCTCATACCTTGGTTTCTGTGACAACAATGCTGATGATTTTGGAATGCCTCTTTGGCCATTACCGACATGCCCTCAGAATGGTCCGGGCCTTAAACTATTTGGTTCTGATACCGATGTTTCTGATGCTTTTGCTGGGCTAGGACCGGATGATTACAACCTGAGATCAAATGGTTTTGAGCAGGCTTGTCAGGCCCAAGATCTTCCATCTTGTCCTGACAATAGTTCTAATGGAAGCTTGATGAACAGCAATCATTTAACATATAGCTGTGGAGACCCTTCATTGCAAATCTTTCTACCTAGTCAACCCCTAGCCAGTGTTCCTTCTCAACCTGATTTGAGCGGCCATGCTGAGTTGGACAATGGTATTGGCCCTGATGATTGGATGTCTCTTAGCCTTGGTGTGGTTGAACCACATGTCAACTCTACTTCAGCAAATGGGCAGAGTTCAGAACATCATTTTGCACCTGAAGATAACAGAATGGAATCATTAGCTACTGGTTGGTAAAATTCTTCTATCTTCTATGTTTATTTGTTGTTTGATACCTATTAGTTTATTATTAAAATTCTCCTCGTTTATTGAGTTGACTTTTCTTAGTGCATTCATGATATTTATTTTTTATCTTAAGATTCACATGAGTCTAAGCATTCCTTTGCTAGCGTTGTATGCTGGCGTAAACATTCTAATACCTTCTGTCACAAGGAATTGCTAGGATGACAATTCCCGCTTGGGCATCAAACAGTTAGGCTTCAACCCCATTACAAAACTTCTTTGTATGTGGAGTATTTACTTCAAAACAGAAAACATAACTTAGGCTTTGTTTGTGACAGTTTTCTTGCTGCTTCTTAAGGCAGCTCTTTAGTACAAAAATTTTAAATTTTGTATTAGATAGCTGCTTTAAGAAGCATTAAGAAAGCCGTCCCAAACGAAACCTTAGTCCTGAAACTGGTAGAAGTCAGCCACATCCTCTTGCACTAGCCTACTGAATATACCTTGTTGAGCGCTATTCTTTACATTACCCTATGTTTCTGTAGAAAAAATAATCCGGAGAAAGCTTGTTTCTATCCAGAGTCTCATTTATTGAGGTCTATTTGGTTTCTCACAGATTTAACCAGTCAATATTTTCTTGTTGCATTGTAGTCTTAATTAGATCACATCATCAATTTGGAAAATGAAGAAACTTTTTTTTTTTCAGCCTCTTTGCTTCTTAGTATGAGTGGTGATAGAACCAGCAAGTCAAACTTCAATGGTGAAAAATCTAGTATTTCTTTCTCTCATCCCCGTCAGCCCCGGTCGGCTCGCAAGCGCCCCTTCCACTCAATAAATTTGGAATCAGATTCTGATTAGTTAATTAGATGTGACAATGGTCAAGTCTTATCTCTCAGCGAGGACTGTGTGCCTTGTAAGCTGCCTCCAATGATCCTGAGTGTTTTATGTTTCTCTGTTTTTGAAGGGATGGAAACAGTGAGAGCTAAAATGGATATATATAGAGAGAGAGAGAGTGAGGGAAAGGAGGAGCCAGCCCTCACAAGAGGTTTCAGCGGCCGTTTACAATGGGAATGGCATATTTGAAGCTTGAGCTGTGCTTGCCTGAAAAGAAATGTAGATTGCAATTCTGATATCAAATTTACAGTTCTTAATCAGGCTCCCACTAGAATCCTCCAATAGAAAGAGGTCTCTATGAAATTAGTTTTCTAATTTTTTTTTTTTGCTGCCACAGTATATTATATTCTTTTTATTATATTTAGATTCGTGTCCAGTCGCACTCCTAAGTGAAAGCAATTTGTATGATATGATTGCCTGCACTGCAAATGTAAATCATTGCTGATACTATGCTTTTTAACTGATATAGAAAAGAATTGTTTCTTTCATTGCATGCTCGTTCATCATATTGAGCGGACTGTGTTAAATAAATGTGCATGATTATGCGTTAGTGTATATTTTACTGTGTTATTATGCTTAAAATATTAGTTTTAAAGATAATGATGGCATAAGAAAAAAATATATTATTACACATATGTATACATTTCTCTATTTGCATGAGCAGTGTTCATCTAAGAATTGCGCTTGAAACACACGCACAGATGCATCAAAGGTGGACTAATTATTTTGTGTGAACACTTAACGGAAAGAACCGTCCGAATTTGGGCAAATTATTGTGTCCGGTGTTCGTATTTGTCCGGATACCAATAAAAATGCTCCACGTCAGTCAAAAATATCGGGGCGCAGTGCATCCGGGCGAGGTGACATGTCCGGATTGGATGTTTGCATGTCAGGTGACCGGACGCAATAATTTACCCCGAATTTGTTGCATTTTTACTGTCCTTAGCAAATATTTGATATTTATTAAATAATTGAATATTTGTTGCGTTTTTGCTACGTTTTTTTATTAAAGGACAGTAAAGATGTTTTCATAATTAAATATTTATTGCTCTTTTACTGTTCTTTTGTAAAAAATTTACAGTAAATCTGAATGGTTTTCTTTGTCTGATAAGAATTTCTCTCAAAGGTGATATGGTATGATCCGGTGTTTATATTGTGCATCTGTTGTTTCTTATTGTTTTGTTATCTAAATGTGATGCAACAGTCAAATCCAAGATTGCAGTTCATGGGAACATGTGGGGGCCTAAGCTTGATCCGTGGCCCTCCACTTTTATAGAATTTTAATTTACAGATCTTACCATTTCAATTTTTTAAAAATTTGCATAAAAATAATTGTAGTTTCATATTTTGGCAAAATAAAAAATTAAGACCGTTAGGTTTTATTTGGGATAATTTTTTTTTATTATTTTTAAAATCGATAATAATTTGATATGCAACAAAATTTTGAGCACATTTTTTCCAAATAATAAAAAAAAGATTTAACTGCTAATTCAAACAATTTTATTTGAATTAAATTTGTATTAAATATGAATAAAATTTAAAAATTGTTTAAAATTTAAAATTTAAAATTATAGAAATTATTATTTTTTGTTTTTAAATTTTTTAATAATCAAAAATTAATTAAAAAATAGTGACTAAAAGTTATCCCAATTTAAGCCCACCGTTTCATCACAGATAACTTTCTAACAACTTTATAAAATAACTTTTTAATCTAAAAAATTCTAATTAATAAAATTCTTTTTAAAAAAATTATCTTAAAAAACAATAACAAAAATGCCACAAACAAAATCTAAATAGAACCTCAACTTCCTCTTAATCTATCATTCTGAGAAGATAAATAAATCCCAAACCAATAAGGAATCGTCAAGGATGCAATGTTCTCAGGCTTTACTCCAAAACCTTTTAATGTTTTTTTTTTTTTTAATTTTTTAAATCATCTTTACTATCATTTTCTCTATGTTCCTTAGATGTACTTATTGACAAAAGTTAAATAGTAGACTTCATTTTGGATGTTTTTTTTTTTTATAACTTTTTAAAGCAATTTTTTCGTACAGAATTTTTTTTTTTAAATTTTTTTTTGTATTAAAAATTATTAAATGGTTATAATCATTTTTCTATATTTCAATATATAGAAGTTCATAAAAATAAAACTATGCATAAATTCTATAATACCGATCGATCACGTTCGAGTTAATGATGCAGAAAGTGCTGCTAGCCATCATCTCATGAGTATCAAGGTTTTTTTGGGACAGCTTTTTTAATATTTTCTAAAACATTATTTTAGTTAAAAAAAATTTCTAAATAGTTGTTTTAGAAAGCAATGAGAAAGCTATCTCAAACAAAACCTCAATCTCATCCAACTTCTTTCAGATCAGCTATGCATGAAAGCAAATTCATTAATAAACTTTGTTCACCTTTTATATACTTATTTCACTCATTAAAATGAGATCATCATATGTGAATTTGACCTTAGGCATTGTTATTTCTATAACATTAACAGTATTATGTGCATGTATATGTATTTTGTTAGGATTTTAATTAGAAGCTGTTTGATTAAATGTGGGGGATTCTAAATTTTGGTTTTTTTGATTTGATGAAAAAAATAATGTAATATTTAAGTGAATTTACTATTCACTGCTTTAGTTCTTTTTTATGCACCGTAATTCGCCCAATTTTAATCAAATTTCTTTTTCATCGTGACCTAACTTGTTGTTGCCATCCACTGTCGTAAGCCATTGATGCCCGTTATCATTGCTACTGATCGTCTCTGCTAACTATCACTATCATTTGACTTTACATTGCATTCCTTTACTTCAATCCAAAAAAAAAAAATTGATGTTGCCTCAAATTTGAAGTCAAATGATAGTGATAGTTGCGATGGGGGATCTTATAAGTAGATATTGAAGTTGCCTCAAATTTGAAGTCAAATGATAGCGATAGTTGTGGGGGGGGATCTTATAAGTAGATATTGGAGTGTTGCGGTGGGGGATCTTATAAGTAAATATTGATGTTGCCTCAAATTTGACTAGACCCTTCACAACAAGAAAATGGTTCAATAATGACTCGTATTTATTCATATCATTGATTGTCATATGATTCACAAATATATCGAAAGTCCAACGAGGCTGCGCCCCTGGCGGGGTTCTACCCAAAGATCATAGTATTTTAAAAAACCCTTGTAATGAAGACTAAAAAATAGATGAGGAGAGACAAATTAGGATACCTAAATAATAATATAACAAAAGAAATTTTTTTATTTTTTCTTAGAAAAATAAATATTTTAGTTATTTTGCTTAATTTTAATAAATGCAGTTGTTCAAATTCTAAGAAAAATAATTTATTTTTTATTTCATACATAAAATTTTGTATTTCACAATCACTATCATATTTTGCCAACTCTAAAAAAAGAGGTTGGTTCTCCTCCTATCATAAATGAATTTTTTTTTCATATACCATTATTATCAGAGATGCACAAATAATCAAATTTATTTTTAATCTATAAATTAGAAAATTAATGAAAGTTAACAATTTAATTTTTTTATATAAATATAATTTTCACTTATGTAATATAGATCAAATGCCTTCAAAGGCAAACCTTAGTAAGGATAAAAACTATATTGAGCCAACTTTTTCCAAATGCTCAGCCGAGCTTAGATCCCGTGGTTTGTTTTCTGTCCTTCCCCTTTTTTAAGCCGGGATCTCCAACGGCTAGTAACCCAATTCCGCCTTGCTCCCTCTCTCCCATCTCTTCTCTCTCTTCCCCTTCTAACAGATTTGCATCCACGTTCTTCTCCTAAATGTACGCCTTTAAATATGTCCGCTTATCGAATCAACCTCCATCGGATCTCAGCTGCAACAATTTTTGTTGCTTCCTTCATTTGCGGCCTCACAAATAAGAAAAAAAAAACTTTTTTTCCCGTTTTCCATCCTCTTCCGGCCTCTCCTCTTCGTCCCTCTGGTTCTATTCCTTTATCCATTTCTGGGACCTCGAGAGGAGCCCTCTGTACCTGTTTTGGGGTCTGCCTTTCAGCTGGAGGGGCACCTCTTTTGCATGTTCGATGTAAATCTGAACCGTTCTTATAGACATGTACGTCTTGGATTGAAATGTTTTAATTTAGATTTTTTTTTGGTGTTCATGATTTTTTGTTTTGATTGTGGCAGAAAGATTAAGATGAGCTGCTTCCCTTGTTTGCCAAGGAAGGATGAAGAAAATGCGAAGTCCGGTTCAGAGTTTCCCAGAGGATTTAATGCTTTGGTGAACAAAAATGGTAAGAGGAAGCAGGTGTTCTTGTTCTAGGGTTTGTATATCAATATATTTCTATTTAATCCGTGCTCTTAACTTGAGCATGATTTTATTCTTTCTGCGCTTCTTAACTCGTTCTTTGTCATTAAGAATGTAAAATTAGGTCTTTTTTTTTCAGGCACAACTTTAATCTTTATCGACACGGCAAATACTTTTTTTTGAGATTTTCATGTGGTATTTTATCCTTTAGAACACAGATAATAGAGGTCTTTGGGTGTTAACAAATATTTAGTTTAATTATTTTAGAAGTTAGACTGCCATTAGCGTTTATGAGTAAGGTAGAGAAGTAAGCAATTGTAAGTTAGGACTGATAAGAGAATTTGTTGGGGTTGATTGGGCTTGTATGTGCAGGGGCAGCTTTTCATTTTAGGGTGGGCAAAATTTTCATTTAAATGGAATAATATTTAAAAAAAAATAAAATGAGGACATAATTTAAAGCAAAATTTTGTATTTTATTATGATAGATAAATTGAAAATTATTACGAGCTAAAATAGTATACTAAACAGGAATATAGGATTGTCAAATGTCAAACCTCAATTTTATTGGCTTTCTCAAGATCACAACTCAGATTGCAAGCGATTGGAGGCTTGGAGCTGGGCACGGATTGCAGGCGATTGCAGGTGTTGGGGAACGACCGAACAAGGTTTGCGGCTACGGATCTAATCGTTGGAACTCAAAAATATTTCTTGCGTTGGAGATGGACATGGCTGGCAGGCGTTGGTAAACGTTTGCGTCAGCGGGCCGAAAAATTTCTATCGTTATGCTGTCTTTTTTTCCCTTTGTTGGGCAAACTAGGGTTATGGGTGGAGAAATAACTAAAATACTCTTACTTAAACTATTTAATTAAAATTTTGAGGGTAAGCACAGGCCCAACCCTGTTTATGTGTATTGGTAATTAATATCGATAAATGTTGTCATTGATTAATTTGCTTTTAACTCCTTATGCAATATGGTAAATCAATGAATGAAAAATGAGTATTCATAAAGTTGATCCTCAATATTTGGATGAAGTTGATGGCAATGACAATGTTCTGTAAATTTCAGTGAACAGCCAGACTCGTTTTGAACATAATAATTGGTGTCTCTTTCAATAGTTTCAATTGGAGCATTGCTCTCCTTTTGAAATAAAAAAAAGAATGAAAAACTATAAGAGAACAAAGAAAGTTAAGTAGCCTTTCTCCCCTACTAAGTTCAGTTCTTTGCTTCAACCATCCTGTGCAGACAAAGCAAAAACAATCAACTCTGGTTCATTAAATAAAGATGGAATCAATGGCAACATTCAAACGCAAACATTCACGTTCCGTGAACTAGCTACAGCTACAAAAAATTTCAGACCTGATTGTCTTATAGGTGAAGGAGGCTTTGGAAGAGTTTATAAAGGATACCTGGAGAGTACTGGACAGGTATTGCATAACATTATAAACTTTTTTTTTCATGTTTTCTTTCTAGTCATCAGAATTCATCTCAATTTGAATGTCCTGATAGTATATTTTCTTCTTGTCAGGTTGTAGCTGTTAAACAACTTGACAGAAATGGCCTCCAAGGAAACAAAGAATTTACTGTCGAAGTTCTAATGCTCAGTCTTCTTCACCATCCAAATCTAGTCAATCTTATCGGATACTGTGCAGATGGTGAACAGAGATTGCTTGTATATGAGTTCATGCCTTTGGGCTCTCTGGAAGATCATCTGCTTGGTATGTTGAAAACACAAATCATTCATTTCATATTCTATTTATTATTATTATTTTTTTGTTTTTCATGATGATCATCTTCCATAAGAAAAATGCTTTTCTTATATCTTAGTGACCGACCTGAACAAAAGATGATGATTAACAGATCTGAAGCCTGATAAGAAACCATTAAAATGGTACACTCGAATGAAGATAGCTTATGGTGCTGCTCAGGGACTAGAATATCTTCATGAGAAGGCTAACCCGCCGGTGATCTACCGAGACCTGAAATCATCAAACATTTTACTGGATGAAGATTATAATCCAAAGCTTTCAGACTTTGGCCTTGCAAAACTTGGCCCTGGAGGTGATAAGTTCAATGTTGCTTCTTGTGTAATGGGCACTTATGGCTACTGTGCACCTGAATATGCCAGAATTGGTGAGCTCACCCTCAGATCAGATGTTTACAGTTTTGGAGTAGTTCTTCTTGAGCTGATCACTGGAAGAAGAGTCATCGACACAAGGCGATCCACAAACGAGCAGAATTTGGTTGCTTGGGTAAGTTCTGTCAACATGATATAAATTTAAAATATTGCATTCAATAACTTCGCTGATCATAAACTTTTTTTTTTGTTTTTTATTCTAATAAAGCTCATTCTAAAGTTGATGCAATGTATATGCTACAATTCTCCAATTTATTTCTTCATGATTTGTTTAAAACTTCAATCTTTTTTCTACTCACTTTGTTTATTGCAATTGATAAGTTATTTACTGATACTTTACCGAGGAATTGTGGCTTATGATTCCAAGACAGGCACAACCAATGTTCAAAGATCAGAAGAGATTCCCAGAACTAGTTGACCCCCTTCTCAAACGTGCATATCCAGTAATTGGCCTTAACCAAGCTGTTGGTGTTGCCGCCATGTGCCTACAAGAAGAAGCTTCTGTTCGCCCTTTCATGGCCGATGTTGTAGTAGCCCTCAGCTTCCTCGCTGAGGGGCCGCCTCTTTCCGAAGCCTCCTCCATTCCTTCCCACATAGTCAAACCACCAGTCCCTGAAGAAAAAACTCAATACCATCCCCCTGAACCAATAATAATAGACGGTGTCGAAAGAAGCCATTCAAATTCAAGTCACAGCGAAAATTCCCGCCATGGAAGCAGCAGATCAAGCGGCCCAATGCAGTTACAAAGATTGCTAGAATTCAATCAAAGCTCTAGCTCAATGTATAGCAAGTTGTCTTCTTTTGGAAATGAAATTAGCCGTTCTTCCTCAATGGATTCAGTGAACAGTGAGGACTCTTCTCACCAACCATCTTGTAATCCAAATTCGAATGTGCAACAGGCAAGAAGTTAATATTGCCAAGCATCAAAGAGCATTATTTCCAACATTCTTGGAGTGCACAAGAGAGAAGTTGCAGCATAATAAAAGCCATAGATCTTTGACTTCGAGCTCGAGTTCAAGTCACAGCCGGAATCTGAACTAGTGATTGATTTTCTGTCATCTGAGGTCAAAGAGTTTATACTTTCATGATTATGCTAATATAGCTTGCTGCTTCCTAGGAATGGTGCTTATTGTGCATTATTGGTCTGTGAGTAGTGAAGTATCTATTCAATTGTATCAATATCATCAGATCATTGTGCACCATTTATACATTCGAATGCTATGCTAACAACATATACGTTCAGAACTCCTATATGCTTGGAGCCTATCAATAAGGAATTCATTTTTTATACTTTTAGTATTGTAGACAGACACAAAACCACTACATTATACATTTTTGCTTATATTGATGGTTTGTGCAATTTTTATTTGCCTCAATTTACTGTTTATTGTTAAACAACAGGATTTTTCAATGTTTGATCATGTGGGCTCGGAAAATTTGTGCCACGGCCTCCCTTCTTGACTTTTGGGAGGAGTTTTAACGAATTAAGTTATGGGGTAAATATTCAGAAGGCTGATGGGGTTTGAAATAAGACACTACCCAGAGATTTCACCCTCATTTTGTGATGACTTTTTTCATCTGAGTTCTTGTTTCCTTTTGCCGCAAGCCCCTAAAGTTAATTTCCCCTCTCGATAATGAGAGAGAGCTTTCGATTAAGGCTAGTCGTCAAATGAATACATTGTATCCGAAGATATGTGATATTCGACATATAGCAGCAGCATGACTTGGTATTTGAAAATTTGAGCTTTCGATTAAGGCTAGTCGTCAAATGAATACATTGTATCCAAAGATATGTGATATTCGGCATATAGCAGCAGCATGACTTGGTATTTGAAAATTTAATATTTAAAATTAAAAATTTCACCATCTTGCACTTAAAGCAGATGGTGGGGGAATTGATGATGAGCCCAATCAAGATCTCATGGTTTCGTCGTCCCGGACCATTATAGTCCCTAGTCTACTTAGTCATAGCAGGTAGTCGGCCCAACTTGACAAAAGAATCTTTATCGGCAGCCATGGGTTGTTTCGTCTAATGGTACCTTATAGATCTTGGGTGAATATTTCTCTAAGGGGACAAATTTGAATCCACCTTAGCTAATAGATGGCTTTGTTCCCTATCGATCATATCATATTGATTCATATCTCAAGGATTTAGTGACATTGGGAAGCATATGACTTATGGCTAGCCGGTTTAAAGGGCCCTGATCATAATTGTTTACGTGCGGTGCCATTTAGCGGTGAAACCATCGATGTTGAGTCATTTGGCGACAAAATCACCAGTTAGAGGACACGTGCCACGACATTGCTAGCAAGAGACAGATTGAGAATGAATCTTAGTGATGTTCTTGACTATATATTAGCTCTTTATGAGCTGAAGTGATATTTAAATTTATCCACCTTGACAAATTTTTGCGAATGATGGATGAATTTTGCTTTTAAGTGTTTGATGTTTGAATTTCGATTTTAAATATTTTGAATTTTTTGTATTTTTGGAGTTTTGAATTTCATGGGCATTAGGAGGCCTTTGTAAATATTTAAAGTTAACCCCTACGATTGAGATCCACGTTCAACACGGTCATCATCGGTGTGTTATTGGACATATTTATTTTATTAATTGAACCCTGTCAACTCTATTTGTTTGCCGACATAGGATCCTGTTCATCGTAGGATTTATGCATTTATTAGTAATTTTTCCTAGTTATCAGACATGAAGGTCTAATATGAACGTACCAAAACAAATATCTCGGTTGATGCCATCACTGTATATTTATTTGATAGTTCGGGTCATGTTGATTTTTATTTACTCAAGTCGTAGGATTCGGCCCACTTAAATGTATTATTTAACTCACGCACTAAGACATCGCATATATATCCGTAACACGCTCGTTGAGGCCCATACGGATATTTAAGAAGCATTTTTGTAATTATCTATTGAATCTTGTCGACTATGTCTAGTTGGTGACAGAGGATTAGATTTATTGTCTGCTACTCTGCTTTAGGTTGTATTAATGAATTTTCTTTGTTATAGGCCTTGAAGGCCTACTATGAATGTATAAAATAAATATTCATGGTCGATATCGTGATCGTATATTTGTTTGATAGTTTGAGCCGTGTCAACTCTTATCTACTCGCATAGGAGGATCGGGCTCGAATTTGGATTTATTATTTAACCTTCCCTCAAACATCATGTGTGTACCCATAACACGCTTGTCGGGGCTCATGTGGGTATATATTCTTACATGTATGCATGTTAATATGCTTGCATGTGTACTTTCATATTTGTGTGTATACATATTGTAGTATATGTGGGGGCATTTTAAAATTGATTAGTTGTGCGGGCAACTGCCATTTGAACATGTGCGACACTCTGTTTGGGGACTTATAGACACCTTATGTCTTCTTATACGAGTGTTGCAGATTTGGTGACGTGACATTATGTTTCAGTGGAATTTTTAAGCATCTTATGTCTGCTTGTATGGATGTTATGGATTCAGTGGCGTGGCATTATGTTTCAGTGGAATTTATAAGCACCTTATATCTGCTTGCATGGATGATGCGGATTCAGTGGCGTGGCGTTGTGTTTCATTTGTTGCTTTAGGCAAATAGGTTGTCATGCACTAACGAACCTCATGTGGTTATTCGTAGATAATTACATTCACTAAAGTTCTCTTGTACTCGCCCAAAAATAGCTTGTTGAGTATATAACAGGGCTTCCATAATGGCATGTAGGATCTTGGGTCTGTCATAGTCTTCTTACAGCTTATCTTCTATCATTGGCTACATGCAAATCAATATACATGATTATGATTTAATGTTCACTTCCAACTGAGCTATATTTGTCAACAACGTCTTTACACATTAGTCAGTTGTATCCTTAGTGTCACCATCATGTTGAACATGTTGTTGCTTTCACTGCACTCATCCTCTCTCACATATAAGCTAGTTGATATGAGCATTAGGTGTTGTTTGTTTCCTGGTGTGTTGCCTTATTCATTAGATGTTCCACACTACCGACTTTAAGCATGTCGTCATGTCTCCTACAATTTTCATTGGTCATTGCTTGGGCATGAATCATGTTATCATAAGCTTTTCATTCCCTTTGAAGATAGCTTGTACTTCACATAGTGAATTTGTTCGTTGATGTTTGTATTTTAGCTGTCATCTTCTATAGGTACTTCCATATTTCTTGTATGATTTGTATGAAATTCGCACATCAACTGACGTCATTTGTATGCAATTTACTTAAAGAGGTTCATATATATGATCGTGATTATATATCTCCTTTTCCATTCAATTGTTTGCAAGATCGAACGTGCTTGCTAGTATTTTGATATTGATTGGAGGGAACTATCATGTTCATCATGTATTCTTCGTGTTCGTTATATATTGGTCGTTGTCACTTGCAAGAGTTTGACATGTTAGCTTGCAAATTCATGTTTGGAAATTTAGTCATCGCAAGTTCTTTGATTATTCGCTAACAATCATTTAAATGATCCATCTTGTCATTTTGATACTTCAATTTTTTGTCGAGATCATTTATTTGTTAAACTAAAGTCCAGTTGTCTACTATTTTGTTCAGTTAAAGTCTCCTACACTTAGTTCATTATAGTTCAAATCAATCTACTGTTTAGTCCAAATTTCGGTGGCCTCCCAACGTCTCCTCTATTTAGAGGAATTTCTAGGAGTCTTAGCCTGCGTGTCACGCCAAGAAAGACGTGCACGATCTATGTCGGGTGACACCGCGGTCGTAGTCTTCGATTCCACCACGACAAGAAAAAAACATGTATGGGCCTTCGGGGGTACCTGTTTGAAATGCGCAGTTATTTCCCCGTCGAGATCGAGGCGTGTACGGGTAATTAGTTTTTTTTCCCCGCTACTCTAAGAAAAGTGTGCACTAGGTTGTTCCGTCTCGTTGTAAGGGCCGCACTGAGTTCTCTCTTACTATGCTAAGAAAAGAGTGCATAAGGGATCCCCTGGTGCACCGTAAACGTCAAAAGTGAGATTTGGGGTTTCGTGTTTAAGGGATTATACCTGCATGACTGGACGATGACAACGATGCTAATTTGTGAGGATACTTATATTTTTCCTCTCTTTTTATTTCTCACTTTTTTGTTTATTCTCTTTTTTTTAATATGCACGCACATATACATATATAATTACATAATAATAATAATAACAATAATAATAAGTAAATATTAATAAAACTCGCGGGAGGATGGCATATCACCTTGCTAGCAGATTTAAGGGAGATAGGCACAATGATGGTTAAGATATGGGTTGTTTGAGTAATTATATTGGACTGGGTTTGTATGCGGGTTTGAGTTGATTGGGTGGGCTGTAAAATGACAGAACCGTTAAGCTGGATTTAGGTTGAGTAGGGATTAGTTGGGCCTCTTTTTGTTTTTGGTTATGGGCTGGGCTTGTTAAAGGTTTTGAGAAGTTGTATATGCAATGGGGATTGAGGCTCACGTGAGAGATGTGTGAGTAGAATTGGGAGTTGGAAATCGGCAGCTGTGGAGGAAGGGAGCAGAAGGGTTAGAGTATCAACAGCTCAGACGTCGATTTCCTCAATTTAGGCCTACTTGCATCGGGACCCGCATCGATCTCCTCGTGTTATTTTAATTTTGGGTGTCGGTAGCCCTTCTTTTGACTTGTCTCGTCTTATTTGACTGTGAGAGTTTCCTCTTAGGCGAACTCTTCGTCCTTACTGCAACGGTACAGTCCATTTGACAATCGAAGGTTGTTTGACCTTTCAAGTGAGCGTCGTGTCGATGCACGCGTTGCTTAATTCGCCGTTGTTTACCCTTTTGCGTGTTGTTTAATATGTAACGGTCAACAGATCTCTTTCAAAAATTATTCTGGATAGCATATATATCCATAAGGGTACCTCCAACCGAACGTCATTCGTCAATCATCTGTTTGCAAATGTCGTAAGTCTCCACCTAAACGTCAAAAAGAAACGCATTTTTGAATTTTCTCTGGGCTATATTCAAATGTGAAAATAGCGTTCAATTAGTCGTTCAGTTGGACAGTCACGACTACTGCAAATCAGAAAATGTCATTCAATTGGAGATGGAATAATAGTAAAGAAATCAAGTCTACCTTCATATCCTTATTTCAAGCGAGTACAATCAACCAAAACAATACAATTGAAATGATGAAACTAAGTCAATCTGCCTTAGTAAAAATAATTAAAATTAAAAAAATAAATAACTAGACAATCTACTCACAAAATTTTGCTAAAAAAATGATTAAGCTGCAAACAAAAATAAAACTAGCGATCTTATAAACTTTCTTCACTTCACAATACTTGAACACTTATCTTTCAAAATAATTTGACTTGAAGATCCTTAGTCATAAACTTGAAAGAACAAAAGCACTTTGCTTAGAGAATGGCATAACTGAGAAAAAATACTTCAGATTTTTGGAAGAATTTTCATTAGTTTTAGAAAAGAGAGAACTAATTTATAGAAAAAAATTTTGGATTTGATTTGGATAAATATTGAGATGTACAAAAATCTAGATTTTTTTAAGAATTTTAAAAAATTCACAAATTGACCAAAAAAAACTAACAATTCTATTCATAATCTCATAAACATATACATATAATTTTATTATATTTATCGCATAATAAAATTTTTTGATGATATTTGAGCCGTTGAGCAAATTAAATGTGAACTCACACACGCTGTCACATATAAAACTTAAGATTTTTTTTTAGAACAGGAGTATCTATCCGCTGCCACTCTAAAGGGAGCGTTTGGCGGAACACCCATATACATCGAGCCCACACTTACTTTGTCGGCCTAAAAAGATGAGACCGTAGTAGAGAGAATTTAAATTTTTTTAATTGATAGTCTCAGCTCCTACCAATATATTAAGTTGAGCCATCTCATGATAAGCAAATTGGAGCACAACAACGTGAGGCAATAGGCATGCGAGCTCGTATTTGCTTGTGCACGCAATTGAGTGCCTACGAGTAATACCAATACGAAACATAATCAAAATAAAACAAAACTAATTGGTTCAAAACTCAAGCCTCTATATCAAACATAAATCATAACAAAATTAGTTCTAAAAAAAAAAACTCAAGTTATAAACAAAACATGCCAGTCATATTCTCAGGAACTTCAGAAACTTCTTTCACTAGTTCTAGCAGTTTGCTTCCAATGTGAATAGATCCTTGCCCAGGTTCAGGTAATGGACATTCTGTCATTTGGTGCTCATAACCGTCACATCGAAAGTATTGTCCTGTTATCCTATAACGAAGTCCCACATTTTTTCTCCAACACCACATATATTGTAGAGTGGTATGAGCTCTAACAATGTTATTAGTCATTTTCTTACTATTTTCACATATTTTCCTAAAACTCTTTCTAAATTGTTTTACTAATTTATCGCTCACTATTTGAGCGATCATGTCAACAAACTTTTATATATTCTCTAATGTCACTAAAAACATTTCAGTGGTAGATTCAGATGTCTTCTCTTTTGGATCTATTTGCCTGATCAATAAATAAATCTTAAATACAAATTGAATCCTTCAAAACCAAATAAATTCTTCAAAATAAAATAAATTTCTAAATACATTTAATCAATAAATAATGCAATCATTAATGCAGCTTTGGTTATAAGTAAATTTTTCTACTAATCATTGCTTTGATACTATTTTGTCACATCCCATGGTCTAAGTGGAAGAATTTCTTTTTTATTTTTATTTTTTTCATATAATCAATGTTCATTCATTTATCAATCAGATCAATACAGACATCTAGAGCTAATTAATTTTATTCAAAGAATTTTGGTGAAACAAATTTACAAAACGGACATCTAACGACCTCAAAACCCTACTAGTACCAACATGTGTCAATTTTAAGGATTTGCACCGGTGCTCAAAATTTATGAAAAACTTATTATAATTAAAACATGATAATATATATATTATGGTAAAGAATGTTTTGAAATTTAACTTATAAATTATAATAACTCCTAAAATTTAACTGAATCAAAATACAAATTATTACAATTATCACCATATATATGAGTTTTGTAATCATATAAATAATATCACCAAAATCTGTTAGTAATCAAATTGTCCATATATTTAAACATGTTGTTGCGTCTTCAATGGCATAGCCTATTTTTTTTTATATGCATGGGTTCGTAAACTAACTTTATCATCTCTATGGGGAACAAATTAATTCTTTATTATTAGAAACTTCAAATATTTGAAACTTGTATGTATGCACGTATATATATAATAAAGACATTAAAAAAAAAGTATATATATTATTATTATTATTATTATTTTGGAACAAGAGTATCTACCCGCTGCCACCTCATCTTGTGAGACGCTTTACGGCGTAACTAATACCTCGGCTAATCTGAAAGAGGCATCCACTCCTACATAAACTTCTGGCCCGCACTTATTGGGACCCCACTTAAGAGCCACTACTGCTCGAGAGGAACCGAAATGTTTTGGGTTCCCAATCGTACTCACCCACCAACCAAACAAGTATCGGTGGATATAATCATATCTATACTATCCACAAATAACATACAACATGTTTGTTATCAAGATATCCTTTCAACAATCCTAAAGCAAGATTTGATTTATTCATGTACTGCACAAATCTTAAAGTAAATCCAAACTTTTTTAAACTATTTTTTTTTATCAATATATCCTTTCACCAATCCTAAATGCTCTATCAACATATAGCTATAAATCATGGGATTCAAAAAGCAACTAAAATATATTTATATAAATATAAGCCAACCATCTTCTGTACAGACCAAATTAAAGAGTTGGTTCGAAAATCATCATGGATTTGCTTCCTTCCAGTATCCTAACTAGTAATTACATTTTTTTTTTCCTGCACAAATAGAACAGGTCAATCCTACTCTGTACAAAGCTAAGATGTTCTTTTCTTCTGCTACTACTTAACAATCAGCTTCATCAATATATAGTTATATACCAACCTTGCTGTCACGTTCTCCTGCCATTTACACCACAATCCTTCTCCTGTTCTAATTACAATCTTCACATTTATTTGCACCATCCTCAGATTATCTCCTGAGAGCCTAAGAGAGATGGAAAGATCCTTGTCCTTCAGTTATAGCATATAGTAACCTTTCCCTTGTTATTTCCTGCATTCATCATGAACTAATTGTGAATAATTCGATAAAATGTTTAAAAAGTAGAAGTTTCTGCTAATTGCAGCACGAATTTTGCTCAATTGTAGTTTGATTTGTTATAGACTTGGATCGATTCGAGGATGGCTTACTCGAAGATGGAACTTGACATTGACTTGATCAACATGTATGCATTCACACATTTATGCACATAGACATGGACATACATATATACATAATAAGCGTGCATGAACATGATAGAAAGAATTAAGGATTTAGGGATGGGTATGAGTTCATGTAATTTTATATATTTTTGTTGATGTATATATACATGATGGAAAGAACTTAAAGGAAAATAATTTTAGAACTCAAAATTTGAAAGGATCAATCATGAAGTGAGACTTAGGCTTCGTTTGGGACGGCATTTTTATTGTTTTTTTTTAATAGATTTTTAGTTTAAAAATTAAAATTTTTATACTAGAAGGCTGCTTTAAGAAACAGTAAGAAAACAGTCCCAAACGAATCCTTAGATCACCTCTACTACTTGAGTCAAGTTATCATTACAATGTTACCATTTAAGGAGTACTTAATGCTACAAAATCGAAATGCCTGACACCCTTACGGGCATGGCAAACTGTCATTGGCTCGTGCACTGGATGAGAACCGTGATATGATGCACGGATACGGACATGGCGACACGGACACGACTTGACACCGACACGGGACAACTTTTTTTGAAAATATAGGACACAGATATGTCACCGACATGGCATTACATTTTTTTAGCATCTACGACCGACAATTTTCAAAGCACACGTGGAGCCTTGACGGTCACCTACGTCTTCCATCCCCGCCGGCTACTTTTCCTCCGACGAGGTTCCTTGGCGCCCTTTCTCTAGTGGTAACTTCCGTCATCGCTTGGATCTTCTATCTCCGCCAAAAGTCCACCAATCTTTGAGTGATACGGCCCCAAGGTGAAGTTCTCGTTGTTAAACGTTGGGTTTTGTTATTGTACTTTGCATATGAAATTCGCCTAGAACTTTGAATGATTCGTTTTGGTTAATCTCTCTTGCAACTCTTTGGCCTAAGCAAAGTTAACGTTTCTAAATCTTAACTCTATCTTGCATGATCCCCATAAAATTATAAAAAGCAAACTTTAATAATTCTCTTTTTAATTTTGATCGTAACTTCTAGTAGTTTCACATCACAAATAATCACTTACTACAACATCATGCATTCAAGCTTCAACTACTAACTTCAGAGGTTTGTTTTTGGCCTTCAATATCATTATCATTGAATATCATTGCTTCCAACTCTAATTCATCAAGAAAAAGATTTACAATAGTTCATTGGATATCATATAATCAAAGTTGGTTCTTCTTTGTATATATTTACTTCTCTAATTCGCTATATCTCTCCCATAAAATTTCATCATCCTCTAATCTAAATCACAAAGAATATATCTATTTATTTCTATACTTCACTACTTATCTAGTCCTCTCTCATAATAGTTCATTGGATATCCTATATTTATAATTAAAATAATTTTATCATAAAAAATTAGAACACATGTGTCCCAGTCGTGTCTGAAACGTGTCCCAGCTGTGTCGGTTAAATTTAAACATTATTTTAATTGTACACATGTCTGCCGTGTCCGACACATGTCCCAGCCGTGTCGGGCACGTGTCCATGTCCAACACTACATTCTTTCTTCAAGAGGTGTGTGGGTGATCCATCCAATTCCCAATACCAATGTGTGAACCAATCACACTACGCCGCATATTAGTACTTGTCGATTCATTACCAAGATACTCAACAACAACAACAACAACATCAAGCCTTTATCCCACTACGTGGGGTCTCACCTCCGTTGCCACATTGGTGGAGCTCATGCTCCTTAGAAAGGATTCTGCATGTACTCAAAGAAAATAAAATCATAGTTGCAGGTTTAGAGAAGATCACCTTTGAAGAGTAAGGCGGGAGCTTCAAATAGTTAGCACATGTCATTACACTTGGCAAATCCATGTCAACTTCATAGCTACAAAGCTGTTTAGGAACGTTATGAGAATGCCATGGTTATAAATCCGTATGAAATAAAAGTCTTATAAATTCGAAATAGCATAAAGAATATAAACCTTGCGAACAATTGTCAGCTTAGGGTTCAAGGCTGCCAAACCGCCTGGAGGCAGCCGAGGAGCTCCTGTGACGAACTGCAAAAAAGCTCTTCGTTCATTGCATTCAAATTCTTGAATTGTTTCTAGCAACTGCAAAATGGAAAACATTAAGAATTCAAGTCTATCAACAAAAAAGATACAAATTTTGTAAAGCTTGTATACAGACATTAATGACAGGTGGGCTACTAGCTGTGTAACCATGATCGAACTTAACGTGGTCCAGCAACTCGGAGAACTGTAAGATAGAAAGGGAGCAATTATACCCAGGAATCATTTTATCAGCTTGTATTTTTAGTGAAGAAATAAAACTAAGAAAAAAATGTTTCAGCAATTAATTTATGGTAGAAGGAAAAACTTACAGTCCATGTCTCTTGCTCCCCACAAAGCACTCGCTCAAGCTCGTCCTCGGTAAATATTTGGAGAGATTTCAATGGAAATACCTAGGGCAAGAAGAAATGTAGTCAATGGGAAAAAAACAGAAAAACCAATTCTACATGTCAAGAACTATGAATTAACTAAGTTTTCCTAAATAGAATGAGCTGCGCCAAAACATGGAAGAAACAAACAACAAAACCCTAGTAACAATGAAAAACAGTGTCATGATATGGAAAAATTATTGTCTGTGCGGAGTTTAAACTCCAATGAAAATGAGCCACGTCCGGTACCGAGCCTCGGTACCAGTCGGTACCTAAGTGTAAACCGGACGGTTCTCCCATCCAGTGTGCACAAAATAATTTCTCCATGATATGAAACATTATATTTTGAATTCTGACTGAACCATAAGATGTCTGTATGAGATTCCAGTACAAGAAATCAAGACAATTGGTCTATGTGCTCATATGGTGAGAAGCTAATTAAACCATAGAGGCAAAAACATTATAAAAAATAAAAAATGGTATTCAGCGGATTATAGAATTGGTGCCAGCAGATAACTTGTTCTAATGAGTGAATTCAATTCTTCAATCTCAATCATAGAATTGGTTCCAGCAGATAACTTGTTCTAAGGGAGTTTTCAGCGGAGATATAAAATAGCAATTATTTCTGTCTACAAAATCAAGATCTTGAATCTCTTATTTCTTCTATATTTCTCGTAGGGTCATTTACATGCTTCATAAGATGTTAAGCTGGAAAATTGCTTTAGTAACATTTTTTTTAGATCTTGCAATGTCAATTCTTGTTAGAGTATTAACTTTAAAAAATGTCAGCAGAAAGTCTGTCCACATAAAGAGTTCACTGTTTTCAATCTCAATTAAAGGAGAAATTTTTCTAGAATTACTGTTTTTCATGATTTTATAAATTCTATGGTTCTATTTGCTAATCTTCAAGCAATTCAAAATTGCACAAGTCACCTTTTGAACCAATTCTTGATTATCACCATACTTTCAATGAAAAATGATGCACCATAGCGCAAAGTTTCCCGTGGAACCAGATAGCACAACAAACGGCGCGGCGCGCACCATATTAAATATGGTGCACAATATTAAATATTTGTAAATAAAAGTATATATTAATATGTGTTTAATCCTAGCCGTACCTTGGCATCTTGATCCCACGGCTAGGATGGGAATCCATGGGAGGCCACCTAGATCACGTCGATCTCCATATTTAGTTGGCCGATTTATGAAGGATTATATTAGAGCAATTATACATTATTTTGTAATTATTTGTTTCTTTATTAAGATATCTTGTATAGATATATAAATAGGGACAAGTTAGTGCAATAAAATTAAGTTTTTCCCTCTCCAAAATCTTTGAATTTAACGTGGTATCAGAGCCTTCATTGCCATTGCCGGAATTTTGAGTTTTTTCTACTGCCGCGCCTTCATTGTCGGCCTTCCCTTATTATTATCCTATCTATAACCAACGCAGCCTTCGTTGTTGCCCTACTTGATATAGCCTTCATCGCTATCATTTGCCACCGCAATTTCTGAAGCAAATTCCTCCCAAAGCTTTGACCAAATGGATGATTCTATGATGCACCAAGGAAGAGGAGAACTCCAAAATATGCAACCTTCCTATTGCTTAAATAGGAAAAATTTTTTGAAGTGGTCTCAATTTATGAAGACCTACTTGAAAGGGAAAGGAAAGTTGAATCACCTCCTTAGGGTAGGACCAAAAGAAGGAGATCATAATTTTTTGGGCATGGAATGAAGCAGACTCCATCCATGATTGTCATGGTTGTGGAATTTCATGACTCCAGAAATTGGTGAATACTTTTATGTTCCTATCTATTGCAAATGACATATGGGATACCGCCAGGAAAACCTTCGCAAAGGCTCGGGATGCTGCCCAGATCTTTGAAATTAAGGTCGATGTGGAAAGCACGAAACAAAGAAACAAAACTGTAACGGAATATGCCACTCTCCTTCGAAACTCATGGCAAGAATTTGATCGCTACATATGTATAGAGACCAAGTGTCCAAAAGATGCTAACTCCCTGAAAAAATTTATTGAGGAAGATAGAATGTATGACTTTTTTGTAGGATTAAATGCGGATTTTGATCAGGTTAGAATTCAAATCCTTTGAAAAGAGGAGACACCTTCATTAAACGAGACCATTTCTCTCATTCGTGTTGAGGAAAGCCGACAAGAGGTAATGCTAGATTTAAAGGTAGTTGAAGGTTCAGCAATGGTGCCAACCAAAGAGGCGCCATAGAATGAAAAAAGGTAAGGATTCCTTATAACCTAAAGACAAAGACTCTCTTTGATGCAATTATTGAAAGAAATCAAAACACACAAAAGAGACATATTGGAAGATACATGAAAAGCCCCCAAGTGAGGAGTGGAATCAAAGAAGTGGACAAAAGGGTACATCACAAGCCAACACTACAACAAATCAGCCTAACTCAAAAACGCATTCCAGCCTAAGAGATCTCAATAAAGAAGATATTGATAAACTAAAAAAACTTCTAGTATCTCTTAAAAAATCACTTGCATCTTCTTCTCTTGCACTTTCAGGTATGTTTTCTATATCTATTGGATTAAGTGTCTCTAAAAATCATTTGGAAGGATAATGAATCATTGACTCAGGAGCCACAAATCTAACTAAGTCAACACTAGCCTGAGCTTGAGAAATTGCTTGTTTACACAGCTGATGAACGGTTTCATCATTCATGATGACACCATCTTCCCTCACAATACCATCATCGTGCCTATCATAAGAATATGGATCCAAAGCTACATCAGTATAAATCAAAATGTCAGGATATTTGTCTTTTAGTATATGTATTGCTCTAGACCATTGTCGTTGAATGCTTCATCTAATGTTGGAGACTTCAATGCATTAGGGATCTTTAGAAAAAGAACGAAGCTCTTAACACCAACATATTTGGACTTGTAGGCCTACATTAAGTGGTATATAGTCAACAAGATGTGTTAGATTGGTGTGGGTTTTCTGTGTTGGTTTTGAGGATTCGGGGTTAATCATTTGTTTGTGTAGAACCCTTTGTAGTTGTCTATTTATTGTTTTTCTAACAAGCCAATCGAAATGGTTGAGCCCCTCTGAAGTCAAGAGTTGCATTAAAGTTAGTTGTCGTTGGCATAAAAGTGCAAAACTTGGGCCGGATGTGTTAGCCTTTATTTAAGAATTTGTTTCTTTTTAAATCCAATTTGGCCTTGAACTTAAGTAAATGTGGGTTACCAAGTAGATTATTTCAATTTGTAGGCTACATTTTCCTTTCATGCTTATTTTGTACGAGTTTTTTTATATATTAAATTAGATATATATGATTTTTTTGTTATTTTTTATTCATTTTTTAATTTAATTAAGTGGATGTCATCTGTCGTTCAAAATTTCAACAACCTCCCGCCGTCCCACCTATTGTGCAGGAGGTGTCGGGTAGACACTTGCCTTTCAATCTTCCCGTCCGGATCAAAGATACGATGGCGCGAAGTCTTCATATACTTAATTTCTCCTGGCCGGATCAAAGATACAACGGTGCAGATCTTCTTTAATTCTTCTCTCAGCCAGATCAAAGATATAATGGCAAGTCTTCAACACCTGTTATTTAAAGCAAGAAAGAAAAGAAATTTATAAACTTTTATTTTAATGTCGAAAGAGTGATGTTGACGGTGATGAATCGATTGAGTCGGGCAATAGGAGATTTGGTCGGGAAGTTGGGACGGACTCAGGAGTGCGGGCTGGGTGGTCACGCTGCCTGGGGGGCTTCTATCGTGTGGTACTGAGAGGACAAGAGAGGAAATTCAAGCTGGATATTCAGCCAATTGGGAGTTTCGACCCAAGGAATCAAGCGAAGGAGGATCGGGTCGGATGACAAAGTCGACTGGGATCCTGCATGCATGAGAAGGCGACAGATTGAGAAGATGTGCCGGGATCAAAGTTGGTTATGCGGGCTAAAGACAGGACAGCAGGGTCGGTTGGCTTGAGTCAGTCGTGTGTGTCTTCCTGCATGCGACACATGGAGATCAAGTGGGAGAGGGAGCGTGACACAATGGAATCGAGAGAGGATGGATTGGATGAGGCTTCTCACATGCAGCTGAGGGAAACGAGCAGGAACATGCTTTCGTAAGTCTCGAACAAAAATGAGGGAGTCTTGTGCCTACAGAGCATTTTGGTGGAGTTTTGAGGAAACGAAAGGAGTGTCACTTGTGTCGTGCGCATCGAGATTTGTGACTGATCAAAGAGAATTTTAAACAATATGGGAACATCGATTAAGAACATGCAATACAACTCCATTATCTTCTAGTTCTTCACAAGATGCCTTTTGTTTTGTACTCATTGTCTCTATTTAGGTTTATCCTAATATAAAGAAGCAGTAGCAATGTCCTAATACAATTTTTTTTCAATTTTTTTTAGAAGACCCTTAATTTGAACATATTCACAACTTTAATCAGTGTATCCATTCTATGCAATTATATCATTGGATTCTTTTAACACAATTAGAAAATGTAAGACAATTCCATTATGTCTTCCACTTATTCAAAAAGATGCCCATTTTTTTTAAACGAGGGATGTGTCTCACATTGTTTGTCATTTAGGTCCACCCTGATGTAAACATACAACAAGATTGCTTGAGACAAGTTTTTTCAAAAAAAAAAAAATCTAGTTTTTTATTTATGTATTCTCAAATTTTAACAGTGTATTTATTTAGTTGCAATTCTATCGCTAGATTTTTTAGTTAGTCTAGCAAAGAGATAGGAGAAGTAAGGATTTAATTTAAGTGAAGTGCATTAACAGTGAAAATCAAAAAGTATTTTTATTATAAGAAGATATTTAACAAAAGCAGATGAGATATTTTGATAAGCTTTTCAATAAAGATTATGAGAATACGATTAACTTTAGTGACCTTAGCACCCTAAATGAAAATAGAGATTTTTTTTTTATCGGTGTATTAATAAAACTAACGTTAGAGAGGATTTAAAGAAAATGAAGTGTGGAAAAGCTATTGGACATGATGATATTCCAATAGAGGAGTGAAAA